TGTGCTCTAAAATCTACCCTCTGTTCACAGGCCATGTTTCTTGCCGTCTATGCTAGCCATGAAGTTTATCTTGTTACCCAAAGACTGTGAACATGAATATAACCTAAAACATATTAGAGTTACATTACTCTTTCCTAGTTAGACCAAAAAAAAAAAATGGTTTAGCAAATATTATACAATGCCTATTATGAAAAGATCCTTATGATCTTGACACAAGATTGAACCTTGAAAGTTCTGCTGCTATATTGCTATATTTTCCTCTCCATCTTTCCTCTATCCCATGCAGTGAGTACGCCCTTGAGGGCTAGAATCCAAGCTGGCTCAGGAAGTTTATAAAAGGAATATATACGAATGCTGAAATCTTGCTCTTCTTCCCCTACTGTGGTTACTAACAGGACAAGGGAGAACCAGGGGGAAATTTAAGAACTGATACCTTAGGAAATAAACGTGGGGTAGTCTAGTAGTAACAGAGTCTAATTTCCTCTTTATATTCAGGACAGTTGTCTTTACAAGTCTCTTGCCCCTTATGCTCAAACCAGAGTGGCCTCTATTAAAGGTCCCCCTTATTCCCTAATTCCCTAAGAGCTGACCATGGTACTATGCTGGGGACTTATCATTGTCACTGGTGATATAATCCTCACAAGAAACTCCACGAGGACCCACTAAAGTCAGCTACTAAGCCATATTGCTGAGATCCATTCTTGGGATCTGTTTGACCCCCAAATCCTATGTGAAGGTGTCCTCTATCAGAGCAGTGCCACTGTGGAAATACAGAAGATAAGCAAAAAAAAAAAAAAAATGTGCTTGTATCTCAGTAACTGCTATTATGATTTGTCTCTGTGTCATAGATTCAGAACATAATAATATATTGTTGGCTCTGTAGCAAATTTCAGATCAAGGTCTAATAGAGTGATGTGTGCCTCAGGCATGAAATTAGACCAAGTAGAAAGGTAGACGGATTCGTTATGAGATATTTCATTCACTCTCATGTAGCATGAAGGACTTAGAACCCAAAGCAGAGTTAGAGAACTAGCAGACACAGGAACTGTGTATTAACCAGTCCATGAATATTCATCCCAATCACTGTACAATAATCATTCAGCAGTATGCACAGCAAGAATATTATAAAAACAGATTGCAGAACTGAATAAATCATCATTTATAAGTGACATAATGAAAGAGAATGCATTTTCCTGTGTGGATTAAAATTCATTTTCTGGTCTGCATTAGAATAAATAATAAGAAAAAAAACACAAGAAAGGCAAAATGTATACCTTTCTGCCTATTGCTACAAATATTGATCGAGATAGGTATTACTCACATTGTTGGATTACACAGTTTTGATACTCTTAACTTTATTTGCTGGATTCCAAAAATACGAGCTTACCAAATTTCCTCATGTTTTATACAATGCAGTGTACTTTTTGAAAAATAGGGTTTAACAAATTTTCTGGGTATCTTCTAAGTTTAGGATTCATAATATCAAGTGGTTTACTGTACGGTAGTTTAAATTGTTAAGTGTGATGTTTCAACTCATTGTTGCCAGAAAGCAAAATGTTAATCAAGATCAAAAGCCTCTCAAAACAAACGAAAGCAGAACTATCAAAGAGGTAGAGTAACCGTAGTAAGTGAATTTAAAACTATTACTGATTAAACGTTTATTATAATCAATGTCAGACATCTGCTATATCTTTTTCAAACCTGTTTTAAGTCACTCATCAACTTCACTATTCTAAATTTCTGACACCTTGAATGAAAGAAATGTAAATAGTGGACGTCTAGAAAAAACACAGATGGGATACTCAACAAACCGTAAATGCTGGCGCTGTGCACGTGTGGGCAGGAGCACACAAGCCCAGGACCCACTCCAGACCTAAAATGGCTGAGTTGCAGGATGTTGTTGCTTGGTGACCAAATAGTATCTTCCCAATTTCAGAGCAATCTAAACATCAGTGACAGATATGTCCCCCCACCCCCACCCCTCGACTTTGGACAAGGCCAGCACAAATACTAAAGGGCATGTTTATCTTTTCCAGCAGTGAACATCTTTACTTTAAGTCAGTTGTCACTAGCTCAATTTTATCATAAGTTAAGCTTAGGCTGTGGGGTGGGGAGCAGGGGGCTAGGATTTGCAAAGCTACATCTCTTCTTTGGGGAAAAGAAGAGGTAGAAATCATGTTTCTTTAACTGTGAGACTGAAAGATAGTTTTGTTTCAATTAAGTCTATGTAGTGTGTCTACTCTGTGCTAGTGTAGCCTCCCAGGTGCTGTCAGCCTCTCTTTCTTTCATTAAACTAGAGCAGTTAATGAGCTTCAGCTTGTCCTCGCCCTTCTCTCTTTCCCTTTTTGCCGTAGTAATGATGTCTAATGATCAGCAGCAGTGGGTGACTGTAACGTCAGGGGCAAAGCATCTCTCACTACCAGCAGAGCCTGCCGAGAACCCTCACGTCTCCAGTTAGGTTGGGATTATTCTTAGTCCCCCTGAAAAGACCATTCAAATACAGTATTTTATTTTGATCGATATATGCCTTTGAATTCAAAGAAAATATATTTCTTGTCTTTCAGATGATTTTACTCCTTCCATGATAAAGAGAAATCAACATATTTTTAAGGAAGAAATAATTTGAGATGTGGGAAAACACATGACAAAGGGGGATCTTTTATTTATTTTTTTTAACTCCTTGAAATGATGATTGGCTGTCTCTCAGAGAAGGAGGAGCCTAGGTTTCTATGTCAGGAGCAGCATAAAAATTTTATAAAGGGCAGTAGAAGAGTTCATAAATTAAAAACCTCTTCAATATTTCAAAATAGGCTTGAATGAAAAACAGAACTCTTAAATATACATGGAAACTAAGACTGTCACCTGATGATTTAAATCTTCTCCCATAAATACATGTTCTCTTTTCTGAAAAAGAACACGTGTTATTTTATTATTACCCTTGGACTTGTCACTCTCTGTTTGATGTCTTAGCAATAAGTCTTTCACAACCCTGCATTAATTTTTGACTGAAAATAGGACTATTTGAGCATCTGAATACTAGTTTGAATACCATTGGCATGGCATTCATGATTATCTTAGTACTTCTACAACTATTACAGAATTTATGTTAGAGTTTTTAATTAATGTTTTAAAGGACACGTGTTAACACATATATTGGGTGTAGCTAACCCCGTGCAAGTTTAAACTCATGGTACCCATACACAACTGACTCTAACAACAAAGCAGAGGAACTTCAGTTTAACATAAAAGGGATGAAAACAAATTTCCCAACTGCCAATGCTTCTTTAAAACAGATGCAATATCACTAAACAGTAATTTACACCAACACAGCTTACATGATTAATTTCATTCAGTCAGCTCAGAACTGTCCAAAGGAAAATCCATTCCTATGTTTTGAATTCTAATTTTGTCTAACAATAAAATATATTTTACCTCCGCTCCATAATGTTACTCCCAATACAAATGAATCAAAGCACTTCATTCTCTACAACAGACTCCTGGCTCATCCAGATGTAAATAAATCTCAGTTCTAATTCATGCCAACCTAGTCCTCATTATTTAGTAAAGCCGGACAATAATCTCCCTATTGTCTTTAGCAGTGCCTCATGCTTTAAAGGAGAAGGCTACCTTTATAGATCGACCTCCTAGAAACCTAACAATTGTGCATTTATAAAAAATAAAAAACAGAACTTTTTTATGCTTCCATTTTACCTTTATTTTCATTTCCCAATTTCTATATAAATTCCAAAAGAAATAGACATCCTTCAAACAACACTATCTCATTAATCTTGAGAAAGCACACACTGATTTCCAAAGCCAAAGTTCTCCAAATAATGTTCCTAAAAACCTTCCATGCACATACTAACAATCGAATATACTTCCATTAGGGATAGAATAGCTTTGAAGAAGTCTCCTAAGGAGCATCCTCAGGAATACTGCGTGGGAAACAGTCGCCAGTATGGGAGGAAGAAAAAGAAGCAAATGGTAAAGAAACCCAAAGGGAGGCAAAAATACAAAGGATGCCAGATAGCCTCCCCCACCCCTGCTCCAGCCCAGTACCCACCGTGGCTCGATGCAGAAAGGTCTCATGCATCCGATCTGCAATCCTACTCGCAGCCCACAGTTCCCATCTTCTTGTAAAGGAAATCGAGCGGCTGCCGCTCCCCAGCCCCAGCGGCGTCTGCAGCGCGAGGCTGAGATACACTCAACGCCAGTTACTTCGCAGCGCCTGGGCGAGAGCGGTGTGGCCGTGCGGCTGAGCCACCCCAGAACGAGGAATAAACGCACACTATTTGATTGCGCCCCAACCCGTCTCTCTTTGTTGTTCATCTTCTAGCTGCGGCTTTATTTGTGGAAAGGGGGAGTGAAGAAGGAAATGGGGGGGGGGGGGATCTCCAGGTCCTTATCTAGAATCTAAGCAGTCGTGGCAACCATCTCTTGGAGGGATCAAGGCTTTGGAACTGCCCGCTGTCTCCCGGGCGGCGGTCTAACAATAAAACCTGATAGTGTCCGGGGAAAAACCCCACATCCACGGGTACCGCCACATTCGGGCTTTATGCCAATAAGGACACTCTGTATCGATCAGAATCGTCTGTTACCCGAGCATGAGACTGGGGTTCTAGGCTGGCCTTTATGCGCGGTGGCAGCGGCGGGGCACGCGCCAAGCGCCCAGTGAAGGACATGGGACAATGGCCCAACCCGAGGACATCGGATGCCGCCCGACCCGGGGAAGAAGCTCCAGCAGCAGGTCCGGGAGCCGGGAGGCGGGCAGGGCGGTCAGCTCTGGATGTGCGCTGCCGCTTTAAAATAAAGGACCACAAAGACTCCACGGCGGGGAAACGCGCCTGGCTAATGCGAGTGGCGACGACTTGGGGAGGGGGTTGAGGAAGGTGGGGGCCACACGAGCCAACGGTGGCTCACGGCTCCCCCTCTCTCCCCCCTCCTCCCTCCCCGCCGGGCTGCTCCGGCAGACAAATAACAGAGGAAGGCGAGTCACTCACCGTGGTCTTGACAGGCACGTAGAGCACTTGCTTGGCGCCGCCACCTCCCCCGCGGACCTCGTCCGGCTGGCCCAGCTGGAAGCCCTTCGATTTGACCCAGAATTTAAATTTGGCGTTGTCCGTGGAGCTCGACTCGGAGCCGTTGAGGAGCTGGACGATCCGCTCGTATTTTTTACGGGTCACCGTCTTGGTCTTGCCTGAGTCCCCGTAAGTCCTGAGGCACCAGTCCTGGAACTGGCGGTACATGTCTCGCTCGCTCTCCATGGCCGCTGCGCCCGGCCGCTGGCCGGATGCTCCCACCGCACTTCGCACCTGTTCACCCCGGGTTCATGAAAAATGCAGCCCCGGCCACGATGCAGGGACGCGAGGTCCCGGCCGCCGCCACAGGAGGCTGCCTCAGGTGGGGGGAGGAAAGGGGAAGAGGGGAGGAGGGTCCGGTTGGGCACCAGTAATCAATGCCCTATGCTACCAAGTCTGGTTCATTTGTAATTGCGGCGATGTCTCGGACGCTCTTTTTCGTCCTCCTAATGATAGGTCTCTTTAATACTGTGTGACCAGGACCATCCCAACAGCATCTGGCCCAGAGGAGCTAGGTTTTGAATAATTAATATGCCCTTCCTTGGTTTATTAAAATTCCTAATATTGAATTGGGGTGGTCCCTCGACGCCTCCCCCTGGGCTGCGTCCGAGGCAGGGCAGGTGGACCACAGCGCCGCCTCCCCGTGCGCGTCCCAGAAGCTTCTCCAGCCGCTGGCCTTGTAGTCCAGGAGCAAGGGCTGTGCCTCCCCCGAAAGCAGCTGCTGGGTAGAGCGCCTGAAAACCCCGAAGGGCACGCGGGCTCCTGGGATCTCCTCTCTCCTTGATCCTGCTCGGCTTCACCTTTCCTGCGACGGGTGTTATGGGACTAGAAAGAGAGAAAGTTCTTACCTGTCATGTTGTTAAGCCTATCAAATCCTGTTTACAGGATTTTTAAAAATGATATTTTAAACAACGTTTACACATCATTTCTTCAGATGCATTTGGAATAAATTCCAACCCCGCACGTAGGTCCTAGGAGTTAAGTCCTGGATATTAGCAAAGCATTCATGGAGATTTGGCCATAGTTGTACAGGATAAACGGGAGTGCCCCAAACAGACATCCGCTCCAGAGGGATGTGGGTACAGGAAGGCAGACAGCTGGCGGCGGGTCTCCAGGATAACGATGGGACCCTCAGACAGGACTCTTCTGGTTTCTGCTTGACTGGGTACAAGACGCAGAAGTTTATGATATTGATGCTTGAAACCCTTTGAATGTAATTAAAATATGTAGAGAGACCATTATTCCTTTGCTTGGACAGTTTGTAGTTCACACGGGAGGTTTCAGTTGTCTATTTTCCCCGTGCCACGTCATGGACACCCCCTCCACTGTTTAAAGTAGCCAAATACGAGTTCTCCTGGACGATTTTTCCAAGCAAATGAAGTCAGCAGTTGCTCCATTCAGGACTTCCATCCGTCTGTTACAGAGCTGGAAATAGGGGAGTTCCCATCGTCCTCGCGCAGCGGCTACGGCCGCTCCTCTTTATTCTACTCTCCGCCGAGGCCCGCGCCCGTCCCGGGGAGCGGCTCTGCCAGGAAGGCGGCCCCACCAGGGCCAGGCGCCCGGTCCGCGTCGGAGCCCACCTTCTCCCTTGTCGTCGTCTCCCCGACGAAAGCCCAGAATGGGAACACGGGGTGTTTGTGCCCACCGCGCCGCAGCTGGCCCCGGCACTTGCAAAATGGTCAGCGGCTCCTGTTCGGCCAGGCTGAGTGTGTGCGTGTGTGTGAGCAGGGGAGCGAGGGTGTGCGGTGCGCCGGGGTGCGCGGTGTGTGCGCGCGTCTCCGGGAAGGTCTCGCGGCGGCTGGAGCCGGGACTGACAGCCCGGGCGGAGCGCAAGCTGCTGCACACACTAAACCTCTCGCCTCTCCCCTCACCCCCCACCCCTCCCACTTCCCTCTCCTCCCCCCTCCCCTCCCCTGCCCCTTCCAAGCTCTCTGATTGGCCAATGGGACAAAAGTTTCTGTGGAGACGGCTGGGCGCTGACGTCACGGGCAGAATTGTCCCATTTAGGGATCCCGGGGGCAGTGCGCATGCTGCAGGCTGCAGGTTAGAGGCAGGAGGCGGTAGCAGCGGGCCCGCCGGCAGCCAGGTGGCGGAAAGGAGCACGCAGCATCCAGGTGGGGGGACGACTCCAGCAGGGTTTCCATGGAGATTCCTCTGGGTCTAGCCTAAAAACAGCAGATCAGCTGACACCATTAGCTCAGGACCTAATTACTGCTTATTGGAGCAACAAATGAGGGAGAGGGCCAGCTGCAAAGGAAGAGTCCCCCCACCACCATTGCCTTTCTCCTCTCTCCTTCTCTCTTGAGTCCCGGTGAATTCTCATTAACTTAGAAGATTTCTACAACAGCTCCCCTTCTCCTGAGGCCACTCTGACGGCTTTTATTCTTTTTATTTCTTTCGTTTGTACCAAATATATGCTAAAATAAATCAATTGTTTTAAGTTCGTGAATTTTTGTCCGATAAACATTAGACCATAGAGCCCAGAGAAGTCTCTGTCCAACACAAGTCACAAGTTGAGGACAGGGAGGGAGGAAACACCACTTTCAGTTTGTTGAATTGAGTATTTATCTTTAGACTTTTTACATTTAAAGAAAACTCAATATTTTTAATACATAAATATTTGGAACCAGCAATTGGACAGAAGACTATTTTGAAGCAGCTTTCTAAGCGTGGTGCCCGTCACAGGAACAACTCTGTTCAAAGTTTCTCTTGTGGCATCGGGGATAGATTTATTTGTATATTGTATATTAGTCATTCAAGATATCGCTGGTTCTATAGAGTTCACTTTCTCTTCTGGTTATAATTTCATTCACAATTACAGGCTTCTTTTTTTGTACCTCTTGCATCTGCATTTCATCTCCTCTAAGCCTCATTTAAGTACTTTCAACCTGAAACATCTTTTCCCCTTGACCACTCAAGTTAAAATAAACTGTCCCTCCTCTAAACTACTCTGGATAGTGTTTTGCAGACATTTTTTTAACCCCGTCACTCAGTAAGGCATGCATTTTATATTCACATACAGGGCATACATACACCTCCAATATGTATGATCACATATTACATTATCAGTATACATTGATATTTGCCCCAATATCTTTTCTTTATTATTATTACGTGGTAAAATATAGTCCCAATTTATATTATTTTATGACCCACAAAAGGATGACTGGCAACCTGTAGTTTAAAGAATATCGTTTCATTTAGATCGTAATAACTGCACTACCCTTATGCTGTATTTATAATTTCATGTGCGTGTATTGCATTGTTCAGATAAAATTTTGATTGGAAGATCTTTAAGAGTTTATATTTTCTTGTTTTGCAAGTAACTAGCACAATGAGCAATCACATAGTAAGTGATTGGGCGGTGCCGGTGACTCAAAGGAGTAGGGTGCCGGCCCCATATGCTGGAGGTGGTGGGTTCAAACCCAGTCCCGGCCAAAAAAAAAAAAAAAAAGTAGTAAGTAATTAATAAATAAATATATGTATATGTATATCAAGTTAGTAAATTAATGAAAGAGAAAAGGAGATGATGAATAGAAGAAATAGGCAGGCATAATTCTTGTCCATCCCGTTGGCTTTTCCTGGTTGATATTTGGATGAAGTTGATCCCAACTTAAGGAAATGCCAGGGTCTTACACACATTTGTTATTACATATACATATACACACATTCGCTACTGTAAGTGTTATTGACATCCTAGTGTATACAATGTATACATATATATGTGCACACATTTATTATTATAATTTTTATTGACACCATAATATGCAAATTAGAACAATATAGACAGAATCTTAGAACACAAATAAATATGCCATCACCCCACATTTGTGTTCACTGCATTTGATATGCAAGCAAAAAAAAAAAACCCTCAAAAATTAAAACAGATCATGCAAGATTCATTGTTTTTTAGAAGAGGTAAGTGATATAACTACTGAAAGAATATTAAAGTTGAATCAAGAATAAAGAGTCCCACAGTGTTAAGAGGCAAGAGTTTCTGAGCCGTCTGGATTCTCTTGTCTCTACTGGAACCTGAAGTATGATCTGCTCTGTACCTATTCTCATTATTAATTGTCCTGAGTCAATACCTTTTACCATGCTATATATCTTGTTCACCTAGGGAGGTAAATACCTGATAAAATCTAAAGTCTATCTCTGCAGTTCATTCTAGACTCATTTCTCTCCTTTCCTTTTTGTTTTCTCTTGAGTCAGGTCTCCCAACTTCATCTCCGGGGTCAAACTGAGCTGTTTCTTCAGCTATCTGATTCATCTGAACAGGCTGCCTGGAACTTAAGTTGGCATTCTCCCAAGACACTTTCTTCAGAATTCCCTCTTAACAGCACGTAGCTCTCCAAAAAGTGGTACTTATCCTGTATTTGAATTCTAGTCCATAATCTGGGCCCAGGGTCCTGCCTGCATGATAGACAGAAGAAGAAAGAAGAAAGCAGAAATAGTTATATTAAAAGTAATATTTTAATTACAAAGCATTCAAAATTTGAACAATAATCAATGATTTTGTTACAGAAGTAAAAATATTTTCTTTCAACTTCACAGTCTCTTTGTGTGTGACATTAATAAAAATCTGGAAAACCTTGTATGTTAGTATCAATCACAAATATTCATGCAACACTCCAGATTCATCAGTAAAAATATTATATTGAAAACACTATGGATTGATGTACACAGCTATCATTTAATAAAAAAAATTAAATTAAATTTAAAAAAAAAAGAAAACCTATGGAATCCACCATTATAAAATCAAGGTTCAAAGAATAAAAATCTTTTACTCATCTCTTCAAATAATAATTATTTTTATTCAATAAACGTGAACGACAGGCATATGTACCTGGCCAACATCTTATGGAACATACATTCTTCTAAGGAAAACAGACAATAAATCAAAGACTACATAATTAGAGACGGAGGTACATGCAATGAGGAAAAAAAATGTGCTATGAGAAAACAATGACAGGGTAAAGAGACTTGATGAGTTTAGGGAAGATCTTCCTGAGCAGGTAATAACTATCATGAGACTTGAAGACACAAAGGGGTCAACCATAGGAAGACAGGAAGGGGAACCGGGCTAAAGAGTTCTTTCCATTTTTGAGGAATAGAAAGAAGACTAATGCAAATGGAACTTATTGAGTTTAGAAGAAAATAGTAGAATATGAGATCTGAGTAGGCTTCTTCAGCCAGATCTTGTAGAGCGATGCTTACTGTGATAAGTGCTGGAAAACCAGTAAAGATCTAAAGCAGGATAGTTATATGAATGGTGTGAATTTTTAGAAATATCATTGGCCACTTTGAGAAGAAAGGATTGGAAGGGGCCAAGCATGGAAGTGGGACAGAAGCTCAAAATCATTGTAGTAGCTTAGATGAACTATCACGGTGATTATTAGAGTGGTAACTGAGGAGGTAGAGGGAGAGAAGTAATGGGGTGAAGACATATTTTAAAGGTAGAGTAGGGCTTGCTGATTACAGTGGACTT